CCAACATCCACAGCTATTCTTCACAGACGCCGACACAGCTATCCACTCCCTCCGAGGAGTATAGACAGACCGGCAGTTTGAGAAGATCACACCTAGGGGCTCAGTAGAATGGAGGGTTGGGGCTCTCAACTGGGTCTTTGGAGCCTAAGATCTCATATACTTCACCTAACCTGCAAGTCCCGAGTTATACTGAGAAGCCGCTATACACGAGCTATGACCGAAAGGGGTCTATTAGGCACTTGCGCCGGTGCAAGGACGAGTTGTTCCTCGGTGCTACGGCCAAGTCAAGTGCCCCAGAACGGCCAGGACAGGCACCCGCGCTCTGTTGCTCTCGGACATCGGGGGCATGACCTTAGACCGCAAGGCGACTCGGAGCATCGGCATGGAGCGCTTGGAGGACATGCTCTGGGTGGCTCTTCGCGCCGTCGTCGCGTTAGGGGTGGGGCACGACGACTACAAGCTAACCAACTATCGGCCAATGGAGGACAAAGAGATGGTCATCGACTTCGACTCGTCGTATCTCTTCGAAATTGGGGAGGACGATCCCGAGTCCGTGGCAGAATCTGGTGTTGAGTCTGTTGCCCGCATGTACCACAATGCTCATGCCGACTGGACACCCTACTATGCCAAGTTGCGGAAAAAGGGAGAGGAACGGCGCGCAAAGATTGTGGCAGGTCAGATACGGACTCCCGAGATGCGTACGTCAGGGATGCGCCCAGGGATCGTGCCAGGCACTCCTTATGGTAGATAGTCCTCCGGCGAGGAAGATCAACGAAGCATTTAGACTTTCTATCACGAAGAAAAATGAATGTCCGCTTCCGGCGGGCTCTCAGTGTGCAACGAACTATCAGCGGTGTTCATGTTATGTTACAGTACAATTATGGTCTCGCTCGCTGAGAGGGATGTCATCACCACAAGCACGCTCACAATACACATGGGAGAAGATGGGGACCAGCTCATGATCTCATGATGTCCATTCATGAAGGTGAAGGTGCGAGTACGTCTTGTATATTATTCAAGCCAGAGCTGTTAATATCTTGAGCACCTATATGTAAAGAGGCATTCAAACTAGGTTCTATGTGGGGACCCCGCGACTGTGTGGAGCGTTAGTTTTCCTTGTCCTCGTCGGGGTGAGGAAGAGACCGAGGAGCGTCCCGTAGTTACATGTAGGATTAAGGGTACGGCCTCTATCATTGAGAAGGTCAGCAATTCTGAGCTGAGCTGCTGAGTGCTTGAAGAGGTGCGCCTCTTTGGCTCTCAGCGTACGACGGCGCCGTAGGATGCTCCCGAGGTCCTGGAAAGACCTGTCAATCTTGACAGATAGCATTTGGTCTAGGATGAAAGTTGAAGTCTAAGCACGTGGAGCCATGTCTTCGAATGAAGCTGAATGCGAAGTCCTCCGACTCCAGTAGTGCAAAGTCGGAGAGCGCTAAATGTGCGAAAAACGCCATTTTGTACCATGCTGAGACGGGGGAGCCGAAAATGGAGGCCAGGTCATAAATCCGGGATGTTGGAAACACGTCCTTAAGAAACAGAATGCCCAAGCCTGGCGCCAGAGAGAGGCTTGGGACATGGTGGGGCGGCGGCTATCGACCAGCTGGCTGGAGGGGTTGAGCCGCGCAGGGGTCGGAGAAATGGTACCGGGTACCTGTCAGAGACAAGTGCGCCTCACTGTCGACGCCGCTGAAAATAGCGACATGCGCCGCCCAATTCGGCGGCTTCAACAGCGATTTCTCGACTTAAAGTGTACGTTTACCTACATGTACACTGGCTAGTGTTGGTGTCAGGACTGGAATATCTCCAGCTAGTACACTGTATTAGAGCCACAGGAACCATATAATCCACGGGGTGATTTTCCTTTGAAATATGGCTCGATGGAGGTAACTCCACGCCGAATAACTATTGACGAATCTATTACAAATGAATCTCTCGGCTTTATCATGTGAAGTTTCGTATCAATGATCCCTCTATTATCTACGCGATGTGTAGAATAAGGCTAACGGCTATGCCTCGGATGCAGCAAGCAATCGGGGCGCCTGTTTCTATCATGATGATCCATCTCTGCATGCCCAGGTGTAGACCGGACATGAGCCAGCACGACATCGAGGTCGATGATCCGAGGAAGACAGCTAATACGCCGGGTACAAACAAAGGATAAGGTAGGTATTCGTGACAGTACAACAAAGGAGGGAGTAGGTATTCGTGACAACAATCTCGGCAGCTCCGACATAATGCCACAGATTGTGTTTTCGGTTCTTTGTATCAGCTCACTCGTCAGTCTCGTGATATGGTGACTTTGTCAGAATAGGGGGTAGGTAACGGATCCGGAGTAATCATATCAATGGCATCTGAGGTTAAGGGACAGCTCAATAGCACTCGAGTGAGTCGGAACCTTTGTTTCTAGTTGCGACCATGGGGGCCAAATACCGGCTTGTATCCTTGATGTTGTGGATGATTCCCAGTCCGTGACACAGTTATCACTGCCGTTGAATACGAAATACGCCATGGCTCAGGCCAATCCCGCGCAGGCCAATGCTGCTCCGGCCAATCCTCCGCCGGTTGATCCCGAACCAAAACAGAGGTCATTAGACTACTTCGAATACTATATTCGTGGTCAGGGTCGAGCATGGGATGAGCGACAGCGCAGAGACATCTTTCGGCAGTACAAAATCCCTCGATATCGCGGTGGCGTGAAGGGCTGGCCAGGTGTCAAGCGGAAGGATTTTGTCCCCGACCCGACAAGCCAGAGAGCTCATCCCACAGGGCAAACTTTGCTCAGTTGCCCTCCGACAGTTCACCTCAGGGACATAGGGATGCTGCCATCTTAGCTGCAAAAAGACTAACCCGACATCTTCGGCAAGAATTCAATGGTCACCTCCGATTTGTCAAGATTCTCGGCTGGGGCGGCCAGGGTCTAGTCGCTCTCTTTAGGGATCGGAACGACGATGGGACCAGAGCGTACTACGTCGTAAAATGCACCCTGAATGACGATCCGAGTCTCCTTGAGGAAGAGGCTGAATATATGGAGGTGCGTTTTCAAGCCATTGCAGAGTACCTACATCTACTCTGTGTACCCGAATTGGATGTTTCGGATACTTGGATGCTCATGATACTATCTGGCTACATGTAGAGATTCCAAGATTCCGAGCATATGGTACAAATTGTTGCGCCAAAACGGAAGGCTCCACAGCCGGAGTCTGAGGAGGATCCCGAGTCCTCAGAGGATGAAAACGCGGGTGATGAAGATGCCGGCTTCGTTCTCTTCCTTGAGTACTTCCCGCGCGGTACATTGCACCAACTATGCAAGGCCGCCGCATCGAGAACTCCGCCGGCAGCCATGAGTAATCAGACGCTGTGGGCTTTTTTTGATTGCTGTAAGTCTCTGTCAACTCCCCGGTTGCGTTGGGGTCTAATGGTACTAAGGTCGCAGCATTCCAGATGGCCCTCGCCCTTCTTTATCCGTCCACATTCTGGAGAGACCACAAATCCGGTGTCAAGAAGCGGGAGCGGATTCCGGGTGTCCCTGTCCAGACCGACTTGAGTTTTGGTCTGCCCGGGTATGACGAACCTTCGGATTATGTTCATTTTGACACCGATCCAAGTAACAGTAAGTCTCAATCCACCACCCAATCCAAATAATTAAAAGGATCTCCCTACCTATAGGTGGTTCTAGCCATGTACGATGTGCTGACTACTCCCGATGGCCACCAGTACTTGTTGGCGACTTTGACGAGACAATGTATCACGTAGTCTCACCAGTCTTGAAGGTTTGTGCCCTGTGAGTAACATGAAAACACCGCTTTTGAATCAGCTCCTGACTGGATCTAGCTCAATGACTTCGGACTCTTGGGCGACGCCAATGAAGCGATGGATCATCCACACAACTGGGAGCAGGTAGCCCTCTTGCTCAGCCTGACATCTAAGCTAACAAAACCCCAGACAGACTGCATGGGACTGGAGGGAACGCGGGAAAGACCATTGGTTTACGCCGGTGAGGCAACCTAACAGGTTAACTCATATGGACTCACACCCCTACCGGGCTCACTAGTAAATGCCCCGGAACATAAAACTAACAGTCTGCTATCAACACAGGAGCAATTCACGACCGAATGGAACTATATCAAGGAGCCCCGCCATATTCCGCCAAGGTTGCCGGATGGTATGGTTGGACAAGTAACCTGTGGCAAATCGGACAAGTGATGTGGTGTCTAATCACCCACTGCCGACCACCCGTTGGGCCTATCCCGGAAAGAGCCGAACACCTACTTCAAAATCTTTTGCCAGGCGAGGACCCAGACCAATATGACAAGAATATCAAATGGAGGAAAGTAGACAGAGCTGCCGCTGCTGCCGCTGCTGCTGCCGCGGCCGGGCCTCTGGGGGGTGGTGGCGCTGGTGCTGGGGCCGGTGGTCCAGGCGGTGCTGTGGATGGCGGTGGGGTGGGAGTTCCGGGAGGTGCTATAGGCGGCGGTGTCGCGGGTGCTGGTGGTGTGGGTGTTCTGGCCGGTGGAGTAGCTGGAGGTGCGGTGGGTGCTCTGGCTGGCGCTGTGGGAGCTGGTGCTCTGGGTAGTGCAATAGGTGGCGGTGGGGTTCCAACCGCTGCTGCGGCCGCTGGTGGGGCGGGTGCTCCGGCTGGCGCTATTGGAGGTGGTGCTGCCGGTGGTGGTGCTCTTGTTGGTGGAGCTGGTGTTCCGGCCGGTGCTCCGGCCGGCGGTGGAGCTGGAGGTGGGGCGGGCGCTGCGGGCGCTGGTGGGGCCGGTGCTCAGGCCGGTGCTGCGGGGGGCGGTGGGGGCGGGGCTGGAGGAGGGCCACCGGTCCCAGGGGCCGGCCCAACCACGGGTCCAACCTCCTCAGGCAGTCAAGAGGGCCCCGCCGGCACCTGGCGGCGGACCAGTTAGGCCAGCAAGGAGAGCTCGGATGTGCCACAAGGTTCAGCTCAGCCAAGGGGCAGACCCCCGGCAAGGCGCCATAAAGGGAGACTCAAGGCCAAATGGAGTTATGGGATGTACGTCTGTCGAGATGACAGCCCACTCTTCAAGGACGTCGATCCGACGTCGATCCGGATCTCAGGGCTCTCGTTGCACGGTGTATGATGGACCAGCCGGCGGACCGTCCTGGGCTGCATAGCATGCGCGGGGTCATCGACAATAAGCTGCGTCAGCAATATGCCGCCAACGACCCGGATAACGGCAGGCTGAGGGACGACCTTGCCGACTTGTATGACCTAACCGCTCCTCCGACGGCACAGCCCCTAAGAAAGTTGAAAAGGGTGCGTTTAGAACATAAACTTCAACTCCCTTTCTAACTTAGACTCCCCTTGGGACACAAATCACTAACATTGACTGTTTGGAATCTGCGAAGTGGCTGAAGGGAAGAGACAACAATATTGACATGCAGGATAGCGTAGACAATAGCGAGGATGAGGCGGACGGAGCCGGAGCACAACAGCAAATTCAGCAACCTGCAGCACAGCCTCATTGGATCAGACTTAGGGTACCTGCAGCACTGCAGCAACTGCAGCAGCCTGTACCCCAGCAACAACCTGCAGAACACGAGGAAGTGGACATTGAGAGTGATTCGAATGACGATCTGCACGAAGATTTCTTTAAGGGAGATTCAGGTTTGGACGGGGAGATCACAGAGGAAGATTCGGGCCCAGATGCCACGGAGGAAGATGCGGATGGAGTCCCTATGTAATTTCTTCCAAGATTACGAAGGATAAGCGTGATGTTAAACAAGGGATTTCCGGCAAAATACCCACCAAAAAGGACCTAGACAAACGATTACAGCTGGCCGTCGGTCTTCGGTCCTCGCGAGAGGCTCGGAGTCTCTACAATTCTCATCACGACGCCGCCATGGCAGTCGCCTCCCCGCATCGCCCCCCCTTCGACAACATGCCGACCGAGATCATCGCACTGATCCTGGGCTTCCTGCTAGCCACGCCGTCAGAGAATGGCGAGACATGCCCCATCACTTACAACCAGCTGACCGCCTCGCTTTGACATAAGAGCGGATATACTCGTTGACAGAAT